CGTTATCTTTGCTTATAAAATTTTTCTTGCGTATTTCTAAAATTACTAAACCGAAATACCTAATAAGTTTCCTTTATATAAAAAATTAATAAACTGAATGTTGTGATTTATGTTATGTTTGTTTGTATTCTCAGATCTCACAGATTTAAACTTTTTATCAAAAAATTTCAGAATTTTTTTTCTTTAAATGATTTATGACATGACTTACGTAGTTTATTAATAAAAAAAATTCCAAAAATTGTTAGGGTATTTGAAAGTAGCTTACTAAAAATTTAATTATTAAATTATACCTAGATACTTTTCCATGAAATCTTAAAAACTGCATAAGTTTGGTATTCAAGGTCAATAAATATTTAAAAGGTTTAATAAGAAATTGGAGTTAGAACCATATAAACAGTTGCTTTTATTTCAATTTGAGAAAGACCCCATTTCCTGGAGCCGCTCGTGATCACTACAGTACAACTTCATGCTACGTTCCACATTGCGGATATTCACACGATTATTTACGTTATAGTAGTTCTGTTCTCACTCTGCCGAAATATTCTGATTCATGAGAAACTTCTGTTGATCGGAGCTCTTTTTATCATTTAGTTTTATTGCTTTTCTATTGCCGGCTAAAAGTGTGTGAAAAACGATTTTCCAAGACATGCTTCAGATAATACATGTGACGCACAACAAACAACTGTTTTTCAATGGAGCAGTTTCATACAGTAACTTTTAGTTTAATCGGATCTATAGCTAAATGCTTTAATTTTCAACACGGAGATTGACATATTGGACTCTTAATAAAAATATGATATTAAAAAATATATATACATGATCCAAATATTTGTTGAATATTATTCCCTGGACTTAAACTGTTGAACATAAACATGTAATTAAAAAATATTAGCAAATGAAATGCAATAAAATATTTGCTTACAATTCATACCATTTTTAGTGAAGGTCATTAGAACACACAAGAAGTTTTTAAGGATTCCCCCTCCTTAATACTCCGCAAGATATTTTATTTTGATTTTTTCGATTGTCGGGAACAAAGAACAATAAAAAGTAAATTATTAAATAATTAGTATTAATGAACAAAATAAATTTTTTAAAACTAATACTTAATTATTGATGGCCTAGAAAAGATCCCCTAGTTCTAAGAACTAGGAATTGAAGAACACTGGCAGGAAGAAGGCTGGCCTGGAATAGGCCTCTTGAGAAGGCTAAGGCCCACCCTAGGCTGTCGAGCCACTGAGGAAGGAAGGAATACTTAATTAAATTACGTACTATATGCGTAGGATTATAATCAATCGAGGAAAAAAATCAAGGGTGATGGAGGCCTGAATCACGTAGACCCCCCCCCCCGCTCCTTCTCGTCCCTACTTGTATTGCGCCACTGGTGAAGATTTTTTATAGTTTTACTGTAACAAAAAAACTGAGTTTTAACCTTACAAAACATTCACTATTTTCAGCATAGCAATAACTTATCAATATTTTAAAAAAACTGACCAACAAAATAATGAAGACAATTATTTTTATTTTCTAAATTAATCTATTGAGAGACGTGAAAAGGCTTACTAAACACGTTTCTTCTAAAGGATTGTTGAACCCATAAATCATTTTATATTTCTGAGATAAATATTGCTCAAGAAAAAACAAAATGTGATTTTATGACTACAAAAAGGTGACAGATATATTTGTATCTGATAAAGTACAGATTTATTGCTAATCGAAACTACTTTTATGTGTAAATGATAAATATATTGCTCCGGACAAGCTTGTTTTTACTACTCAATTTAAATTTGCACTCCTTTTTATCCTTCTACAAAAAGTCATGTGACACACGATAGATTAAACCAATACTCGAGGATTCTCTTCTTAAAATACAGTTTTAATAAAATAGCTGGCGTACTTTTTTTCAGAATATATATGTTACCGTTAAAGTGTGAAACCCGTTATTTCATAGAATAACTAGGTATTCCATGAAATAACTAGACTAGTCATTTGAAGTATATAAAATTGTTGAGAGTTCTGCGATTTAACGAGGTATTCTATAGAATAACGATTACTTGATCGTTAACGTATAAAATGCGGCTCTCGAAAGTTGTTTGAACTGATTCTAGCTGCTTGTAGTCAATTTTGAACCCCAATCCAAAGTGTCATCACAGCAATCATTGCTCTAATAAATAATGAAAAGTAAAATACAGGTATTTCATGAAATTTTTAAATTAATATTCTCTTATAAAATTTTGGTCGCGAAAAAGTTTACACAATATTTTTATGGAACAACATTTTTTCTTCCCAGCATGTACTATTTTGATAATATTTATTTGTAGTTATTTCTGCAACATATTCTTTTTTCCTTTTCTGTTTAACTAATGTTAGCGATATGAGCAATAACAAATTATATCTTCTGATTTTCCTTATTATTTATCAATTAATTATCCGCAATAGGGTTAAAATGTATTTTTCGAGAATTGAGTTATTTATGATCAATTAATTTATAAAATAAATTTGAAATTGTTTATTCTTTACTTTGTCTATCATTACTTATTTCGTAGAATAACTAGGTAAAGTATGAAATTTTTCATCTATTATATACTTTAATTGACTTGTCTAATGATCTCATGAAATACCTGGTTATTTTATGAAATAACTGAATTATACACTTAAACGTTAACATATACATTCATTTTTAAGCATATAAAGAATTCACAGCCTCAGTAAATTTATTCCTACACTCGTGATATCTTCTAACAATGTATGAAAAGTTTCTCTGTTTCTTTTTCTGTTCATGTTCAACTAGCACATTGATTCCCAACCTTTATATTTGTTGCGGTACAGATTTAACAATTTCAGAATTGGGCGGCCCACAAACAATAAAATAAGTTTAAGACAATTTTACCTTTCTGTATTACGGAGCGAAATTAGTTCTTCATTCAAATTTAATCCATGTACAGAAATATCCGTTATCACAAATTGATTACGAATCTAATCCAATTTTTTATATCTAAATTTGGGAAATAGTGTTGAGTCAGAGTATAATAAAGAATTTTTTAAAAAAATTGGCGGCGAATTTCAAGAACTTCGTAGCATACTAAAGTACCACGGAACAATAGTTGAGAACTGCTGGACTAGCAGGAATGATAAACGTACAAAATTCTTTGGAATTTATTCGAAGTAAATAGCGAACATCTTGTTCACTTTCTTAGTGATTTATTTAAAATAACTTGAATATCAAGAATCCAATATGGGCTCCAAATATCAAACCTACTGTAACATCGCTTCTCCGAACATCATGTTGGACCCGACACCCACACGTGCATCTTGCAGCTGCAGCGCAACCCCTTTTTGACCCCCGAGGAATCGAACACCGTCGACCGGAAGAGGAGAGAAGAGAGATGCTTTGAACTTACACGGGAGCGGTGGCCAACGAATCCTCATCTCACAAAATATTGGACTCTAACGATCTTTAATTAAGTTTAATAACTTTAATGTATCATTCAGTAAATAATATTCAATAGTTGTGACGTAAATAAATTCCATGTTTAAATTAACCAAGAATACGCTACCGTTATTCTTTCAAACGTTACACTACGTAAAGAAAGTGAAAAATGATGACGCATGTGCTTAAAACAGTATGTAAGCCTATTGGTCGATTTAGTATAAGCAATCTGGATTTGAATAATATTTCATTTTTAATATGGCTATTTATCTGTAACTTACGTAAGTGAATTAGGAAAAAATACTTCGTACATAGTCATTATTCTCAAATAAATGTTTAATTCCCTATTTGCATCTTTTCGGCAAATAAAAAAATTAATTAGATTTTGGTCATGCAATTTGAAGTATATGCATTTTACATAAAAAAATAACTAATTTTGATTAAAAGCTTAATATCGGAAAATTTCATAATTTTTTTTCTCTTGCATTACGTTTTTTTATTAGCCCGCCATTATTAATTATAACTAGATTATTCACAGGAATGATTAATTGAATATTATACCAACTTACCAGAAAAGTGTTACCTCGAGGAGAATTATCTACAGAGTTTCATTTCTTTTGTATATCTAATTGTAATACTTTAAAACGTATTATCTACAGAATCGCAGATAATTAACCTTATGACTGAAATGTATAATTTAAGAAGATTAAATATTATTTTATGTGCTGATTATGATTTCATTTGTTAATATCTTAAAAGTAAAAATTTATAAAGATAAATAAATACTGCTAATTGTACGAAAGTCTGAACTAAACGTTGTGCACATTTTCAGACACAACTAAGTTACAATTAACATGAAAATTTGCAATGTGATCTGATTTAATTAACGCTTTAAAAATTTCATGTTCCATAGATAGTTTTTCCTTTGAGCATGTAAAGGAATAACTCTTATTTAGCGTTACGGTATAGGAGAAAAAAAATGCGAAACACATTTTACATCAGAAAAAAGAACACTAGGATAAAAATAGTATGACAACATAGGCTGCTCTCTACATAATACAGAAGCCAGAATATAATATAAGCGCTGGGAAGTACTGTTATATCTGAAAAATATTCCAAAATCGGGTCGAATTATTTAACACTAAGCGAAAACAGCCTTAACTTTGAGGCAAACAACTTCACGCACGAATGTATATACAGAGAGAGAAATTGAAAATGTATTTTAAAAACGCTTACGGCGTAAGTTTATTATAGATAGAAATACGTTAGCCATATACTATGAAAACAAGTAATATATAAAAAAAATTAAGTCAATTCCTACATCATATGTCAGCAAAGAAAAATTTATTTTAGTTGCTTTTTATTAAATAATTACAATTAATACAAATATGTATATACATATGGCAGAATCACAATATTAAGTGGCAAAGTAAAAAGTGATTTTCCTTGCCATTTTTCTTTCTCTATGGTGTTGGACTATTATTTTTGTTTGTTACTATTTATTCATTAATTAAATTTAATTATTTCAATAAAATAGCATAGTAAAAGGAAATCACATTCTCAGAAATTATGCCATCCCAGGTTGGATTCGACGAAACAAACTTTGGATTCGAAGTCCAACGCGCTATCCGTTATTGCGCTACAGGGTCACAAGGAGCAATTTCCCTCTTTATATATGCGATGTTATTGTTACTATTTATTCATGAAGTAAAGTTAATGAATTAATATGTGAAACAAATATTAACATCAAGCGTCATCCACTACAAGTTTAAAAAAAATGTATTTGAACTTGAGTGGATGAATAAAAGGTATTTTATTAATGAGATGGAAAATTTTAACTAGACACATATATATGTAAATAAATATATTTAGGAAGAATGTGAACTAATAGTAGGAATTGAAAAGCATGAAAAAGTATTTTATCGTTTATATTTGTAATTTATTGATCTTGGTTTCAAATTCTTCACAATTTTATAAAAATTAACAGCTCGTCTATTTAATTTCAAGATAAGTTTTTTAAAAAAATGCACACACATTTCGAATACGTAATTTGATACTGATTATTTATTAAAATAATTAACTAATAACACTCATTTTTTAAAACTATATCTTTTCTCCATGAATAATTCTTTGAATAAATATATTTACTAATTTCAATTCTTATCGGCTGTAATTTTTCCTTGCATAGCAAAACACATCAGTTCCAGCACAAGTATTACAAATCATAATAATTTATTCAATTATTCTCTCTTGGGAGGTAAATCTATTCTACCACTCAAGACCCATACTTTTATTTACTGTAAAACGAGAGAACATTTCTTTCTTTTTTCTTCTTCGAAGTCTGAGCAATCGAATATAAAGAACAGAATTGAAGAACTGTGCGCAGAAATTCAAGTCAGCTTGTTATTAGATAAGTGCGAGAACTTTAAAAAACGTGAGATATGTGCAGCTTCAAAGGATAAGAGAGAGAGGGTTTCAACTGTAATTCATGCGGCCATTCCCAATTAGATGGCCTTCAAACCGTAATTTTATATGCAGGAAGTAGTTTTCGGACGTGTTTTTGCCGGAGAGTGACAACCAAAGGCGATAAAAGCTTTTACGTTTCGGATTTCTTTCAATTAAATCCATTTTTCAAATGTGTTATTATCGGGCTGTAGGTTAAGGTAGATAAAAGAAAATTGAGACATAAATTCCGTGAGATGTTCTTCTAATGCACCTCTAATCGTCTGACAAATTGTGCAGATATTTTTCATTTCATTACTAGAAAAACAACTTTCGGATTTGAGATTTTAGGGTTCGTGTACTTTTAATAGGCCCGAGTGATTTTTCTAGCAGTATCTCATGAATAAAAATTGGATATTAAGATAATTGGTTCTACAATCATTGCGAAAAGTAATTGCGATTTCTGTCAACTTGTATGATTTAGACTCTTCGCCATTTAATTATGAATTACATAAACCACATAAAATATGAAGGGATAAAAGCTCATTTGAATATGGAACTAAGAAGCTGTAAACACAGTATTATTCTGAATGTTGAATGCATACTCTATTTTTCGGTATCTTTTACAGCAGACAGATCTATTATTAAGTCTTAATTCCAAAATTAAATTTAGATTACTAATATTTTTAGTTAGTTTAGCGTATTTTAAATTGTAAATTATTGAACATTTTGTCACGAATTTTCACCCACCAAAATGTGGAGGCATAAGGAAAAGACATTTTAAACAATGAACACTTTTATTATGACTATCAAAAGACTATCTAAATTTAACCTAAGCTAGGTTTTCATTACTAATTTAAATATCTATAATAATAAATTCAAAACTCTTACCATGAAGTATAGATCTTCAACTATAATAAGCGTTGTATAAGAAGCCGCCGAATTTTTTCTCTTGAACCCCAGATAATTTCAGCTATTACTCTCTTCAAACTCCATAGGACTCTGCATGACAACAATCGCCAACCTCTCCAACTTCCCTCTTCACTTGACATTAAGTAACAACCCTCATTAACATAAATCGCGGTTCCTTACAGAATGCGGTTCCAAACCAGGGGTGTAACTATAGCCGTATCAACCGAGCAATGGTACGGGGCCCCAACATGTATTGACCCTTTCAAATAAATTTTATTAATTCCGATTATTTTTATTTATTTTTCAAAACAGCCCCCTTTTCCCCCCAAAGAATTTTGATACGGGGAGCCCACTCTAATCTGGCTCTGACAGTATTCCAGGCTTTTATAATTAAAGAGTTTAATATGACATTTAAATATTATAATGGCGAATATCAATATTTATAGCTACAATAAAGACAATTATTGAAACTACCATAAATGGGGACATAGATTCTTCTCGATGTTCATGTCTCGACAACAACGTCTCCACTGACGGCTTCTGGAATTGACTGCCAGAGGTCACTGTCCACACATTGGTTTGTTACAATAAAACGTTATAAAGATATTTTCCCTGGAGGATTAATAAGAATTTCGAACAGAACCCGATACAATTCAATTGTAAAGATTGAATTAAAATGTATTTTTAAATCATTTATTTTAATAAGAATCACCATGGTATAAATGAGTTAAATTTATTGTTTAACATCTTAAGCAATTGTTATTTAAAATATTTAATCTACAATTTAAATTATAATTTCTTTTCTGTAGGAAAAATATAATTAGCTTCAAGTAACTGTTAAGTTCATAATTTTTGCTATGGCATATTGTTGTTAAAGAAGGGGAGCGAGTGAGAGTTAAATTAACATCGTACTAGAAGGCATCACGAGGGTTATTGGCAAAGGACCTCGTTGTTATGTATTTTTATCCGGGATACATATAAAATACAAGTGAAAGAACAGAAACATACAATACAAACAGAAGAATATAGACCACGGGTGGCCAACCCAAATGACCTTGCGGGCCACTTCGGAAAAAAACATTATAATCTCGCGGACCGCACATAAAAATATATAAGTACTTTATATCAGATTTGGAAACAAAAGAACATTTATTCGAGTGGACATTTAAAACAGAATGAGTTATTATTATTGTTTTCATTATTTTTCATGTATACAGACATACACAATATGATAATGCAATGATTAAATAATGTTTAAAATATTACAGTTGCCATTTTCTTGAAAATAACGGTGTTCCTTTCGAATTGATCTTTCGTTACTCATTGTTGAAATTTGATTGTGCTGTCATTCGCAAACGATTAAGTATACATTGCCCTTTATCTTAACCTTCCTGAATATATTTTTTAAACTTTAAAAAACATCTCTGTGACTGCCTCTTGCTTTTTGGGTACTCCAAACAGAAAAGGAGTAGGAGAAATGAAAGTCGCACACACAGAGAATCATTTGCCATCCATAGTAAAGGATATGCATAATGCAATTCGGAATTTATTAAAAAAAGTAATTTATTATAGTAAAATCAAATGTTTGATAAAATATAAATCTGTTTTAATCTAAAGGACATATCTATTATCAAAAAAAGATTTAATTTAAAACAAGAACAGGTAACAGGCAAATACATTGTGTGTGTATATATATATATATAAATTTCCCCTCAAATAAATTTCAAAATGAAACACTTAAATAGCATGATATTTAAAAAAAAATTTTTAAAAAGAGTCGGTGGGCCACAAGAGGCCCGCGGGGCGTGAGTTGGACACCCCTGATATAGACATTTACAGCACATGATGATCCCAGCATATAACAGAAGGGATGCGCTGTTTTCCATTCTAGACGGGAATCCATTACAGGCGAAATCCGACTTTTCCCGAAGAAAACATATCCTTGCCTTACTCGGGATTCGAACCCGAACCCACTCGGTTGCAAGCTGAGGGTCATATCCACCATACTAGCTGGGAGACAAAGGACCTCATAATTTTGAGAAAAAGGGGAATGGTTCATATTATAATTTTATGTAAGTATACTTATGTGAAATAACAAATTGTTAACCCAGAATTTTGAACTATAGATAAACTCAACCAATTTTTGTCTGATTAAGATATTCCTCAAGTAATGTTTACTTGTAAGATAGTTCTAACTTCTACGCCAAAATTACGAAATCATTGCCATATGTGTTCTTTTTCGTGTTATTTCGAAATGCAAAATTAGTAAAGAATTAATAAATCATTCATTAACATCTAGAACAGGTTATCCTATAACAGCAGAGTTTAAAAATTAATTTGTTTTCTAAAATTTTATTAGATATATATCAGTATAATTATTTATAGCATGTACTTCACGTTTATAGTGCAACCAATTAAAAGCCCTAAACATATTAAAGAAATTCAAATCAAAACAAGAGGCTTCTTTTTCTAGTACGCCTTTTGTACGTCTTGAAACATTAAAAAGAGAAAATGTTCACTGAAAATAAAAAAAGGCGAAATTATATACTTTTTTTTTAATTATAAAGCTTCCGGTTTCTGACATTGTGCAAAAAAGAGTAACCTTTTAAGACTTCTAATTATCCATACTTAAATAGGATTTCACGCTTTAAAATGATATCCAAAAGCGAAAGTTAAAATCTAATCTTCTAACATCATCATTCTTTTTCTAAAGACGCTTTTTGTACAGGCTTGTATTCTAATATGAACAGGATATAGAACAAATTAATTTAAAGTAAAGACTTCTTTTTGAGAAATGGTTCTTTTTTTTCTTTCTTTTACTTCTTTCTTTAAGTATTATACTTAAAAGTTATCTAGAAAGTTAATGTTTTAACTGTTAAATAAATAGTATAAAATGTGTGTTATGGTCTTAAAAATCATTTATTGCTGTATAATACTAATAAAATTAGTTAATTCTCCATCAGAGCATAAATACTTCGATTAGGCTTTAAACCAATAAAAATGAATCAATATTTTACGAAAATTTAGAATTTTTTTTTTAAAGTCATATTAAGAGAAATTATAAGTACATGGTATCGTATATTGTAGTTGAAAAGCATAGAATATATCTATTTATATTAATATTTAATGGAAATCAAAATAAAGAGCGTTCAATTGACATTAAATGCTCGAGATAAATTACGGGAAAAAGTAATACTTCATTGGTGAATCCTTCGCAAACAAGTAATAATGCATCCTTTGAAATTTAGCGTAATGTTTAATCTTCTGACATCTTATTTTAGTATTACACAGTAGC